ATATATATATATATACTATACTTGTCCGTCGTCAATAAGTTTGACACATCTTACACAAAACAGAATTTCACACACACACACGTTAAATATTAATATATTTATTGTATCACACATAAATTATGCTATTAAAACCGAATTTATAACCATTACAAAAGAATTACTTAATAATATAACAACTAATTTTTCTAATAAAAATATTATAAACAACACGGTATCACAGTGTGGATATGGCATAGTTTGTCACACTGAGTTTAATATCAATAATGCCATGAGTTTTGACGGTTATCAATGATTGGTGGAATTGAGTCATCTCGTGTGTCTATTCCAGAGTAGTTTGGTGTAGAGATGTGTCGTTCGCGAACGAACGGATCGCATTGAACGGGTCAAAATAGTGAACGAAATGATTCAGATCGCCGAACCGTAGTGATCCGGATCCCCCAAAAACTAATTTTTTCCCGTATAAATCACACTGAACCGATTTTATCGCTTACCAAATATCAATGATAACATGATAACATGATAACATATTCATATGTCATTTGTTTATACGACACATCCCTAATTCGAAACGCGAAACATACATGCGATTCGCAAATCGAGAACCGCAAAAGAATTAAAACTATACTGAATGTTCCATTCAATTGACTCAAAATATCTTTTAGATCGCGAACGGGTCTTTGAACCGGATCTTCTAGTTGACCTGATTCGAACGAATCGGATCACTTAGGTGAACCATAATTCCCATCTCTAGTTTGGTGGCTATATATGAACCTCCTACTACTGAAATAGACACGTATCAAAGATATAACTCTGTACAAATTTTATCGATTTATTAAATTTGCTTGGTATATTTTGTGTTATTGTTAATCACTTGATTTTTCTTTGTGCCTACTTAATCTATGTACTCATAAAATTTAATTCTTAACCTTATATATTTTTCGTGAAATTATTAGTCTCCCCCCACCTTGTTATATCCAATAATAATCTGAAATAAATAAATGTATTCTTATGCAGTTATAACTTAGACACGGTAAATCACTTCTTGCATATACTTCTATAGGAAACAAAGTGTAAAATGGGCTAATCGTAATTAAACGTGCTGATAAACTCTGAGAATAACTAACCGCGTCTGAGCGCCACTAATCGAGTGAGAGCATTATGACCACCATCAGAGTGACATCTGAGCCAGAATGCTCATAATTTTGGGCTTTTTATATTAAGTTTGATGGTATTTTCAAAGGCAAGAAGTGATCACCGATGCTACCTTTATTTCTTTATAATTTTATAATTTATTACATGTTATTTATTACATTTTTGTCAATAATAATCTACATTTTATATTGTTCTACCGTTTGCTTTATAATATCTTACACGTTAATTATTACCTTATTTTTAGCACATTACTATTATATATTGTTTGTTATTTCTTGTTTCTTTTATATATTTTTTATTCAAAATTACATTGATATCTTTTTAAACATTTAAAAAATATATATACAAGGTGATTTTTTTATCATAACCCACGCAATTACTTACAGAATAATAATAATTTAAACATTTTTTTTTTTTTTTGATTATCTTTAGTTTCATATTATTCTTGAATTATTAACTATGTAATACTTTTAAAGTTCATCCCTCATGTCTGATAAGAATGTCAACTATCTTTTGAGTTAATATACATGTATAATACACAAGGAATTACAAATACAGGTAGTTAATTGGTTTTTTATGACATCGATATTAAAAGGTACACAACATTGTTATTATCAAAGGTAGTAAGGCACATAGTTGTGAGTTTATAAATACACTAACTGACAATTGTCATAATATACTCATTACTACCATAACAAGAGATATTTATACATTATATTATTAGAAGGACATGATCTTTTTCTAACAAGTAATTCATATAAACATTTAACAAACACACACTGCTTAGTTATATTATAATAGACTCGATTCTATCATAAATTGATTAGTAGTCACTTTTAGAAATATTTCCTTCCGAGAGAAAATCTATAAATTATTTTTGTCACCTTTGTTTTTTTAGTTTTAATAATTAAATGCATTGTATAAAACCTGATCTTATTGGAAAAAACTATGTTAATGTTATGTATCAATGTCAAAATTATTTATATTCTATTCATCTGTAAAAATCTCTGTATTTTATGCTTATTTATCAAACAAACAACTATACTGTAAGAATTAGACAATGATGATTTTCGGGGTTAAAAAGTATTATAAAAAGGCTGAGCAACCCCTTATTCCGCGCTGTTCTTATTGTAGTAATACAAAAATAACAAAGGTGTTCTAGTTTTTTTGACCAAAGTTGGATATTTGGGAATTTGGTCAATTCAGGTGCAACGAGTTTCTATCGGGGTTGTAGAGTCCGAGGGTTTAGAACAGTAAAGACAAGTAGATATAAAAATTTATGATATAATATCTAATAATATAATAATATATAATAAGTTCCACTCATAGAGGTATTAAACGCTGAGGAATACTTGTAGTGGCCGGGGTCTTGGCCTCCTATCTGACACACAGTCGAATCGTGATGTTAACTGGTATGTTCTTTAGTGGGAATACTGAGGCGTTCATGGAGTGGCGAAGACCTCCTCTCAGACACCCAGTCGAAGTATATGACCAAGCACTAACTAGTTATTAATTATTAAATTAAATGATGTTTAAAAGAATCTACTGCTTTACCATTCTTTTACTCAGATTATTAATTCTAAATAATTGGGTTTATATGAATTTAGTTACCTTTTTAGATATCTTACGTTCAGATTTATACTGTACCTTTTAAATAAATAAAGTATTGACGCAATATAATTGCATTCAATATTGTTTTAAAATAAACCGACGACAACACGGAGTCACGGCTAGTTTGATCAAAATAAATCAGATAGAAGAATTCTGAATTCTTTATTGAATTCAGATCTTCAAAAAGACGAAAAAAATAGAGTGAGCCACTCGCTGGCACGCGCGCTCACTGATATGCAAGCAGAACTAAGCTTTTTTTTATTATTTTTAATTACTCCCATCATGGGTTGTTGTTGTCAGCGCTTTTAGAGATTCTCAATTTATTGTATTAAATTGAACATAACATGATAGTTACTTTAAGATAAGATGTATAGTATACTATAATCAATTTAACATAAAAGATAAATTAATTATTCGTTTGTATACTAGTAATATAAAATACAGATTATACATTTTTCATTGATAAATGTAAGATGCGCAATACAAAGCATTAGGCATATTACGTCATACCTTCTCAGCTTTCCGTCGAAGGTAAAATATAAAATTTATTTTTAATTTTATAATGCTATAACTTTTTGAAAAATATATATATCCATACAATTTTTTTATGATAAATACTATTATATACTTCTTTCATTCGGCATATATTTTTTAAATAAAACCATTTCCCTTTATATATTTATTCAAGTATTACACTTAACATTCATAAAACTTGTAATGAAGATATAAATAAGGAAATAGGAGCGTTAAATATAAAATATTTAACGAAATAAAAACGTTTTTAATGATAGTGATTTTAATCACTGTCAGATATCATTATACTTGACCCAACTAAGCCATGTCCCCAATGTGCTGCGACCTCACTGTGCTGGGGTTTTTTATCTTGTTTATTTTTAAATACTTTATAAGGGCTGCCATAGTAATGAGTTCACTAATAAATATAAAATTTACATGAATCTAACTCACATTAATTATAAATTTATAGTTATTTTGATTTTAAACTTAACTTTTCAAATTGTTTCGGAAATACATAATAACAAAATAACATAATTTAGTTATATTAAGACTGAATAAAATATTATCATGATTTATAACATTGCTGATCATACTAAGCATAGTAAAATCAATAAAAAGTATGATCCATTAGAGAAGTAAACGGAAAAATGATAATGGATATAAAAAACCAAACACTTATATTATATGATGTAGTATTAGAATGTTTGTTAATTAAGTAAATAATTATAGTACATTAATAGAATTACTGAAGACTATATTGCTCAATAAAATTATACAGTGTTAATTGTATATTAATAAAATATTCCGGAAACAATAAATATTATTTATGTACGGAAGTAAAACAATCGCTAAGTCAAAAATCATTGTGCAAGTTGTGATTATAGTGAATTAAATATAAGTTAAAAAAGTTTGAAGTCTAATTCTTTATTTTACAGTGTGGAAGTTTTTCAAAGCCCAGATCTTTATAACAAGATTTGCTAACATTTTCACAAAAATTGTCAAAAAAATTACATGCGTTAAGCATAATTTGCATTGAATTCTCAGGATTTAAATTAATTGATTCATTTTCTGGATTCCTAAAATAGTTTACATAATACTGAACATTTTTAAATTTGTCATCTTTATGGCACAGGGTATCAAATATCTTAATTTCATTCAATAAAAGAGTACTAAAAACATTAAATTTTTTTTTAAAAATGATGAGAAGTTGTTTAATCATTTTATTATCATTAATATTTTTTAAAGAAAAATCATTATTCTCCAACAAACTGAGAAATCCTGCAACCCATTCAAAAACAATCTGTAAATTTGATTCAGAGGTATAATTAACACTCCATATTGATGATTTCTTTAAAGTAACTAAAGCTTCATATAAATCTTCAAGCATTGTTTTTGATTTAACTAATGAGCCAAATAATTTAATTACACAATTATTGTAGTAGTTATGGGCATCTTTATCGCATATATATAACATTGCAGAAAATAATGAACGATAGTTTTTCATTATTTCTGTAAATCTACATCTTAATAATTGTGATACGTGTTTTTTTTTTATTTGAAAATTTATGTTACTAACTTCATCATTTATTATACGATCTACACTGAATTGTTTACCAAAATAAACTATACTAATGTGGTTCATTTCTTTCCAACCAGATTCTCTACGAATAATATTAAGAGCTTCAATTCCATCATTTTGATTTGTATCTGGGTCTATTGGAGGTATGAATCTAATTTAAAAAATATATTTTGATTATTAATAAATATATAAAAAATAAACATATTTAAATATTGATGAATGAAACATTACTTTATTTTGAGTTAAAAAATCAAATATCATTAATTACAGAATTTGTATTATAACTTATAATTTATTTGTTAAATTATTAAGAAATAAATAAAAAATTAAAATTCAGCAAAGATTTTTTAAATTATACTAATATATCAATTCAAACTATATTAATAAGTACTTCTTTCATAAATTTCTATGTGCTCTTTTATACTTTTGGAAAAATAATATAGATAATTTAACATCTGACATTTGACAAAAAAAAATAAAAAAAAGTTTTACAAAAAAAAAGTTTTTGTAAATATGAAACCAAAATTTTAAAAAATGGTAACACAGTTGTTTCGTGGAAAATTATGAACGTGATATAGTTGCTAAAAATACAGATTATATATGATAGTAATGAAAATCATAAGAAATACTTCGATACAAATTTTTTGATTGTGTTTAATTTTAAAAAACTAGTAGATTATTCTAAAAGCAACATAATTTGCTATTTCTTTATGTATATCCTAGTTGTTAGTTCTATGATATTGTTAAAGTGCAATGTAGTATTTAAATAAATGTCAATTATAATAATTAAATATAGTATGAAATTTATGTTCAATAATTTAATACTTCAATTTTTACTGAGAAGTAACTAAAAATTTGAAGTAGTATATTTCGTTATTTCTATGGCCAATATGTATAAAAATCCAAAAGGTTTGAAGCAATGTTTTAAAAAATTTTGTAACTTATGAACCCTTTGCTGTAAAAAGTAATTTCATCAGAAGCAAGAATATTATTTTCGATTTCAATTTTACGCATTTTTCCAAATCAACAATTAGACTTTTCTATCACTTCTAACTTTTGATATTATTACTAATTAATTAAAAATTAGCATTTATATATAAAAAAATTGTTTAAAACAAAAAAAATTGATTTTCTTATTGTTACTGATTTTAATTTTTAATATGTTAAAAATAATCNGTTACTGATTTTAATTTTTAATATAATAAAAATAATCATTGTAAATATCATTTTACCATCCTATTTTTTTGGTCCTCAAAGTTGATATTTATGAAATTTCAAGTTTAATAATGATATCATTAAATAAAAATTATTATGATAAATAAAAAAATGTTATTTTTAAGATGAATATGCAATAAGTAAATTTTGTAATTACTATTTACCATAAATTTATCAGAAAAGTTCAAAATTCATTTTGCAGTTTTATTGTAATAGATCACTTAATTTACTAAACTTACAAATTTCTATAAACTTACATAGAAATCACTGTAATAATTTCTAATTAACTTTTGGAGTTTAAAAAGAATTACATTGATATAGTCCTAAGTAAATTAGTTTCAATGATTTACTTTAACAGAAAAACCAATCAAAAATTTGTTAAAAAAATCTACTTAATTATGCGCATTATTAAATTTATTATAATTGTATAAATCCATTGTTAAATCAGGTTAAACTAAAAATATTATTTTTTAAAAAAAGATTTGTATAGCTACAGTTAACCAAAAATTTTGAAATATTATAGACTGGTAGTAATACACACGAATAAAGTTAAAAAATTAATAAATTACAAAGTAATTTGATTTGATTTTCTAGTTGAAATCTATTATATTTCACACCTAATTCGACAATAAACAAACATTAATTGAATGATTTAATTGTTTAAATGGAAAATCTTGGTCAAATAACTTTTTAATTGATAAAGTGGAAATTTTTCAAATTTGTAAGATATTATCTTTTACTAGACACTAGTTATGACTATTTAATGTATCTTTGAAAAAACTACATGAAGTGAGAGCTGAGAAAATAAATGATAGCTACAAAAAAAGTACAATCATTTTAATATAAATAAGAAATATATTTTTACGATGGGAGAATATAGTGATGATTTTCGTTATATTCATTGAAGTTGTTAAATCTAAATGAGATAAAAATCAAATGAATTAAAAATTTGTTTCTAACTTAAAAAGAATTAAGAAAAAAATGCAAAAGAATTCATTGTCGCAGGCGGGTTTGAACTTCGTACTTCATATGTAAAAGACATAAATGTTACTAATACGGAAACCTAAAGCGTATTTTATCTAGATAAAAATGAGAACTTATACTACTTAAAATTTCACACATATTTTTTTAAAATTAAAAGAACAAAAAAATNGTTATTTTTCTAAAATTAAAAGAAGCAAAAAAATTAAGCTTAGAAAAACAAAGAAAAAAACACATCATAGTAAAATTAATACCTTCCCAACGTCGCATCGAAACTAAAAACAATACATTAAATACAATACCTCTAATATTAATTACAAATTTAAAAAATGATGTTGCACAGTCTAGTTAAAGTGTACTTATATAAAATTGAGAAAATCCAACAAAAGTTTTTCCTTTCCTCTCACTTAAATGTTCCATACCCAGAAAACCTCATTCCTCTTACCTACCACTTTTAAATTTTCTATCCCTCGAAACTCTTAAAAAAGGTCGTTTACGTTTAGTTGTATACGTTGCGTATAAGCTATTCGCATGCAGTTTTGATTGTCCTATTTTTTTAAGTTTTTTCTCTTTCCACACCCCTACTCGTAATAACCAATCTAAAAATAAATTTTATTTAAACACTTAGGTAACTAATTATGCAAGCAACACCTTAACAGAAAAATTATAACTATAAATGAATTAAAAATTGATCAGTTTATATCACCAAACTTTAACTTATTTATAATGTATTGTAGTTTTAATTTTTGTAACACGTAGCTATAAGTACTATTATATTATATACTACTTTTATTTAATTTTTGTAAATTTATTATTTTTTACAAACGATTCTATTTGGGTCAGGACCGATTAAAATTTAATAAATAAATAAAATAAATTTATTTTCGATAAATCAACTATATAAAAAATCCTCATACATTATTACTGTGATATATTCAGATCACAATTAATGTATATTCTTCATAAGAAAATTATTTTATTTTTCAAATATTTATTTATTAAAAAACTTTTTGAAATATTACTTATAATATGTTTTAAAAAGTAATGTTAAATGTAAGAATTCTTACTCTGCTGTTTTAGGGTTGAAAAATTCTTCAAATCCTAAGTTTTTGTACCAAAGTTTTACAATTTCGTTGAAAAATTGATTAATTATTTCTATTCTTGCAAAATTTAAATCATTAGGTATTTCCGCAATTTTAATTTTTGACATATCATTTATTACATAAATTAACATAAATTTATGATTTTCAACATAATTGCCTATTCTTTTTGATGCATCAATTAGAAATTTTGTCAAATTCTCAAGTTTCATTTCAGAGATTTCATAAGGTGATTTGTTGAGATCTAAAGAGCTGGTTTCCGAATATTCTTCTAAGATGAACTGATATATAAAGTCAATTACATCAATTATAGGATGCGGTATAAAGCCTTCTGTAAACAATAATCTTATATCTAAGTAGATTAAAAACTTCATAGCATTGTGTAGATTTGCGATCATAGTTTTGGAATTTTTTAGAACTTTTTCAAGCATTTCTACACAGGGACTGAAATAATTCAATTCATTTTTTTTATGATGTTTCAGGCACACATTAAGTATAAGTTTTATTATATCAAGGTATTTTTTTAGTATTTTAATATACATGAAATTGAGTATACCTATTGTATAACAATATTTTTGTCTTAAATTTAACATGTTAAAATTTGGTTGGACATCTTCGTCTATATCCATAGTATTATTTGAATCTTGTTTTCGATACGATATAATTTTTAAATAAATATGACTCACCACCCTTTCGATATAATTTTCATACATATCATGATAATTTTCACAATGAACACCTGTGTCTTGTTGCAAGAGGAAAATGACAATAAATATTAAAATAAACGAAAAAAATTTCATTGTAATAAAATCTTATATGAAAAATTTCTTATTAAAATGTTAGGTAGATTTATAATGAACATAAGTAAATGTCTTCTTTATTATTTAATATCACTTATTTAATAAAAAATATGTATAAAGATTATAAATCTTTTTTCTACGTCAGTAAAAATATGTTTAAATAAAATATAGAGCTTTATTGTATTATATTTTTAAATAATTTTTTATAATTATTTACTATACTATACTATTTAATTTGATGAGACCCAATATATACTGTTAAAAATAATTTATTTTAAAATATACGTGTACTTTTTTTTATGTAATTTCAATAAAATTCAATTATCCCATAAATAGTGTACAATAAAAAAATCTCGTACAAAAATTTCTTTTGAAATCATATTCTAAATATACTTACATATTCAATATCAAATTGTTAGAAAAAATAGTGGTGTTAATAAAAAAAAAAACCACATTGATAAAATTCTTACGTAGATATAAAAATATTGTCAATACACCAGTCTAGAAGATATTTTAAAAAATATTGCTGTCAATCTCTCAATAAAATATACTATCAGAAATTAAAATCACTGCCATAAGAAACGCTTCAATGTAAATATATAGATAGTGTTTAAATTTAAGAAATTGGTGGATTATACCAAAAGCAATATGAAATTATATTTTCCTTTATTATTCCTGATTTGTAGTTTTTTATTTTAGAAGTATAATATATGAATAAGTATTTATTGTAGCAATTAAATTAGTATGATATTGATGTTACATAATTTAGTATTGTAATTTATTTGGAAAATGTATAAAAAATTATGAAGAAGTTATTACTTTGTGGCATACGTGTATAAAAATTAAAGCGTTTATCACAAATCTTTTTAGATAATAATATCTTGTCAGTTATCAATAAATAATGGTTTTGCTAAAAATTTTCATAAGAGTCAAAAATATACTTTTATATTTCAATTTTTTGTGCTAATTTCAAATGAGCAATCATATTTTTTCTATCACCAATAATTATTTATTTTATTACTAATTATTTAAAAATTATAGGATATAACTATAAG